TTTATAAGAGTTATGTTATAGGAAAAGTGATTGTGTAATATTATAGAGATTTGTTTTCTGTGTCTTAGTTTTTTTTTTTTTTGCTTTAAAAAGTGCGGGCTTCACAAAATATTGTGTGTATAGAAATTTTTTTTGTATCATGTTAAAGGACAAACTACAACCTCTTATTATTATTATTATTTTCAAACTACCTTATAATCAAAAGTTTATTGATAAACTTTTTTTTTTTAAGAAAGCAAATATTTCCAGCAATTTAATCAAAATTAAATACGTTAATAATCTGTCAATCTTTTTACATTCCTATTTAAGGAAAAACATAAATAAGAATGATTATAATTTGGTCGTAACTTTTTGAGGGTTCAAATTGTATTCATCACGAAATGTACAACTTTAAACTCTGAAAAGGTAGTAATTAAAATTTCTTCTTTTCAGTAAATTATTTTAATTTTGTTTAGTTAAATGATACTATATATATGATTCACAGGGGAAAACACAATTTTAAGATTTTTGGGCAAAGGAATTGCCCAGTTAAAGATGATTGAATAAGTTTTTTTAAACTAATGGAGTCAAACATCTCAATGATACTGATGAGACTAATCTCGTTAATGATATTGACTGGACTCGTCAATGATACTGACGAGACTTGTGTCATGTCAGCGCCACAGTTTCGTTACCATAAAACTTCGAAAGATCATAACTTTTGACTCGGATATCCAAATAAGATGTTTTTTTATTTCACATAACTTTTCGAGATCTACTCATTTGACATATTTTATCTCCCACAAACATAGTTTGAATTTGCAACAATAGTTCAACAATTACAAGAGCGTTTAAATTCAGAAGATGGCACGTGCGGCAGCTCATGGTGTTGGTTCAGAAAGAATTCAGGATCTTCTGGATTTAAATGATCTTGTAATTCTGGAACTATTGTTGCAAATTCAAATTATATTTGTGGGATATAAAATATATCAAATGAGATATCATTGCGTACATCTCAAAAAGTTATGTGAAATAAAAAAAATCATCTGATTTGAATACTGAATACCCAAGTCAAAAGTTATGGTCTTCGGAACTTTTAGGATAACAGAATTGCCTATGTGCAGCTGACATGACACGAGTCCCTTCAATATCATTGATGAGATTAGTCCCATCAATATTAATGACATATTTAACTGCATTAGTTTGAAAAAACTTATTCAATTAATTTTAACTAGGCAATTCTTTTGTCGAAAAATCTTATAAGGTTACTTTAGCCATCGTTCACTCATAGTATGACATGCCATACAAGGAATTTAACACGGTCTCCATGTTTAACTAAAATCTTTTTCAAATCACAGCTTCCTGTACTGTACTAACGGAATAAATCAGAATTTTTTTTTTTAACTAATATCATACTAGAATTAAACATTAAAAAATTCATTTAAATTTAGTCTATCAATCTGAAAATATCTATCATTTTAAAGAATGAATTTTTATTTTATTTTGCTTGTTATTTTACAAAATCAAAAGAATATTTTTTTAAAACTTTATCACTATCTCTTTACATCTTTATTTTGAGTATTTCAGTATAAGGTAATTTAGTAGAATATGTAATTATAAATTTTTATAATTGAGACTATTTAATTTTCTCAGCCCTCGATCCTATCAAATTCTTAACAGATATATTTTAAAGCTCAAGGAATAAATAATGGTTAGTTATACAAAATTTTCTGTAGAATAACTAATCAAAAGACAATTTAATAAATAAACTCCTAAATTCATCTCTAATAAATTTGGTGGCAGATATACCGGTATTTGAAAAATAAAAATCCAACCATGAATGTTGGGCGTTGGCCACATTGCATAATGACTAATATTAGGGTCAACGTACCACGTTGGTCTAAGAAGAAAATGCTGAGTACTTATACATCGAATATCAATACGGGACACGACATTTTATTTCAACATATTAATTTTAAAAATATTAAATTTTGATATGTTAAAAGATATTTTGATATTAAATAATAATTTTAATTCATGTAATGTATATTATATTTAATATTCAATAATTTAACAAAAAATTAAATTAAATTTATAATGCCTACCAATTTGTAAAAAAAAAACATAAGATATAAATATTTACTATTATATTTTTAAATTAAAAATCTCTTATCCACTCCAGCAAAATTTATTCGATATCTATTTTTAATTCTCATTATATCAGTTTGGTAAAATATCAATTAATTTTTTCATAATATGTAATAAAATCTCAAATATTATAGATGTCAGAACATGTCGGAGTATCGAACATGACACTTCAGATTTTTAAAGTGTCATGATACACGTAATTCCCGATTTGGTTTCTAATTCATTTATAGGACAAAATATTACTAAATGAAATATTCACCCTTTAACACTTGATCATATACTTCATGAGATTAATCTTTTGTTTATCGAGTGAGAAAATATTCTTAAAATAAACAAAAAAGAATTACTACTCAACATTCGTGATTCTTTAAAAAATCACAAGGAAAATTTTAATTTCTTATAAACTTAGTATGTCAACTACAAAAATTTTATAGACAAATTTAAAGTTTACTTTAGTTTCAAAAATGTTATTCGTCACGTCATTATCCAGAAAAATGTCAAAGGAAACAAATTTTTTATCATTCACTCAAAAAAAAGTTATTTATTTATAAAAAAGGTTATATCTAGAATATTTTTATATTTTTTCTCTTATAATCACTTTTACTTTTATGGTTATGGGATCAAAATCAAATTAATTATTATAAAATAACATTAAATGAGAATTGTTTATTTGATTTTGATCTAATAATCATTAAAAAAATTGTAAGAAATTATAAAAAAATAAATCGTAAATATAATATTTCCCTTTATTTTTTATTTTTCATTTTTTTAGTCAAAATGGCAAAATTCATTGAGAATTGACATAAAGCGTATAGTTCACTTAAATGGGAAAAAATGAAATTCCAACGAAAAGCGCGTAAAAGCCAATTGTTGTTCTTAAAGAGCACTTCTCCAATGAGGTGCTCGTGTACACGCTTTCTTTCTGGGTCCCACATTTATCAATGATCGTGTGGACATGAATGCTCGTTGCAGTCTCTCATGATCTAAATTAATGTCATCCAAAGAACATTGACCACCCCATTGCATGTTTTTCCGTTCACTGACATTGCAGTGATCAAGCAAATCATGATTTGTTTGTGAATGGAATAGAAAAGCATATGGCTTTTTATATATTAAATTATCAAATACTCTTCCACTTTCATCCACTTAGTTAATATCTTAATTGATTATGACATTATGTTTATATCGATAAGGAAAAGTTTGATTTGATTTGATTTTAAAATTTATTTTAGCGACATATACAATCATAATATTTTCCTGTTATAACTTTAGTAAATTGGGTAAGCAGATAAAAAAAATCATGATATTTTGAGATTGAAAAAGTATAAATGGTTTCCTGAATTATGCATTTTATGTGATAAATAATTAAATATCATATCAAAAGGGTACATATGTGCAGCTTTCATACAATGCCTCGTTGGCATTGGATAATTTCGCTGACCAGATTTTAAATGCGTGTTGACATTTGACTAAATTTATATAGGCATTATGTGATGGATCTGGATCTTCTAATGTGTAAATTCACATGATTATGTAATGTGGGGAATCATAACCATACAAAAGTGGATCAATGGTAAAAAAAAGAAGATAAAGAAAAAAATGATAAAATAGGTAGTTACGAAATCATAACTGTTGATTTACCTTTGTATGGTTGTGATCTTCTCACATAATCATATCATGTTTTTTTAGCACATTAGAGGATCCATTTCCTTATGTGATTAAATATGTGACAGAATTATCGGGTGATTTATACATAACATGCGAAAAATTAGTAAAAAAAAAAAAAATCACATATGATGTAAACGCAAATCCCGGCACAATAAATATTTATGATTTTCTCTTTGATGAGTGATGATGAAGATCAAACTGGTAAACAATGGCAACTTTTTTTTAAATTTTTTTCTAAATATTTTTTTTTTTAATTATTCATCGGTCAATCGATTAATGTTCAATTGGAATTGGGTAACAAAATTCATCCTATTAAATTTTAATAAAGCTCCAGACATCCCTTACCAATTTATTCACGTATTTGGTGGTAATCTCTGAAAATATTTAAAGTGATAATACAATAATTTATGCACTAATTCGCTCCATGAATCAAGTAGAGGATCATGATGTGGTGTATGCATCTCTCATACGCTCTTTGATTCAGTCATTAGTAGCTGTCTTCAATGTCAAGGAAGCTTCTCTGCTCTGTCTCTCGTGACCCCGGTGGCTTCTTTTGAAACCAAGGACTTCAAACTTTTTACTCGTAACATACTAGGAATATTTTGGATCTGCATCCTCTCATGTGAAAAATCATATGATCATGTCATGTGAGAAATCATAATCATAAAAAGGTAGATCAATGGTAATAAAGGAGGAGAGAGAAAATATATTAAAATAGGTAGTTACAAAATCATAATTGTATGGTTGTGATCTTCTCACATGACCATGTCATGTTTTTTTTCACATTAGAGGATCCATTTCCGAATATTTTACCCGTATTATAATTTTTTTTTTTTTTTTTGGTAGATTCCCTATTACAATTTTCACTAGCACTACTTACCCATTAAGTTTCTAATGTAACTTTCACAATCACCATTCATTTTAATTTTTTTTTCTTTTTTTCTTTTTTATCAATATTAATGTTCCCCAATTCCATATATTATATAAACTCCATCTTATATACAACCAACATATATCCTTTTTCTAATCCTTTCTCTTTCACATTGTTTCAACGTTCCACCATCATAATAGCTTTTACATTTCTTCATCAAAGTGTCAAACTTATCTTCTCTTTCTTCACATCATTTGCATATTCTTCTGCAATCCTCTTTGATTTTTTTTTTTTTTTTTTTTTCTAATTGATTTTCAAAATGATTCACTTTTAGATTTCTGATCCAAAGCTTTAGTTAGTATAGTCTCCTTGAATTCTCATCTGGGTTCAATCCTCTTTCATGTTTTGACTGAATCAGTTTCAAGTAGTGGTGTGTATCTGATAAAAAATCCAACCTTTCTTCCTGTTTCTTTGTTATAATACTTGGATTTGGAGAATCTAGAAACATGGGTGGTTGTCTAACTAAAGGAAAAGATTCAGAGCCAGAACACAATGGTTACAGACATGCTGGTTCTGCTGGTGTTCATAACCAGAAGACTCATGAACCCTTGGTCAACCAATCAAGAGGACAAGCTTATCAACCTTACCAATTACCTGAAAAACATGCTGCATCTACTCAAACAGTGCCTCAGGTACCATGGAAGCCTTCTGTTCCTGCCCCAAGTCCAAGACCTGTTGTTAAGCAAGATACAATTCTTGGGAAGCCATTTGAGGATGTGAAATTGTTCTATACACTTGGGAAAGAATTGGGTAGAGGGCAATTTGGGGTAACACATCTATGCATTGAGAATTCAACCGGGTTGCAATATGCTTGCAAGTCCATTTCAAAGAGGAAACTTGTTAGCAAATCTGATAAGGAGGATATAAAGAGGGAGATTCAGATTATGCAACATTTGAGTGGTCAACCCAACATTGTTGAGTTCAAAGGTGCTTATGAGGATAAGAATTCTGTTCATGTTGTGATGGAGCTATGTGCTGGTGGTGAACTTTTTGATAGGATTATTGCCAAGGGTCATTACAGCGAAAGGGCTGCTGCTTCAATATGCAGACAAATTGTCAATGTTGTTCATATCTGCCATTTCATGGGTGTGATGCATAGGGATCTGAAGCCAGAGAATTTCTTGTTATCTAGTAAGGATGAAAATGCACTTCTCAAGGCAACAGATTTTGGCTTGTCCGTTTTCATTCAAGAAGGTAAAATTTTTATCCATTCTTTGGTCATTTGTTCTAATTCCTCCAGCATATTAATGTTATATAGTTCCAGTTTAAGAAATGGATGGAGTCTTTATGGAAAAATGTTAGCTTTAGCATAATTTTTTGGCTTGAAATATTAGTGTTGAATAAGCTACTAAGTTGTATTGAAATTTTATGTTTAGATTATCCTTTTGCAGAAATATTTGCAAACTTTTGAAATTGTTCTTGTCTTTCGAATTAGAAATTTAGTTGTATTTGTTCTAGTATTGTACACAATAACAAATGCTCAATTGGTTCAATTCCTTAAAGGGTAATACAAAGTAGATTTGATGCCCATTTGTTATTGGTAGCCCTGTTTTGTCAAAGCTTGGTCTTATGAAGTTTGAGAACCTTTAAATTTGCTTGATGGCACATTTTCTTAAAGATGTAGATTGGAATTAACTTCTGCCAATTAATTTAGCAAAAGCTTCGTATAATGGTTCTTTTCTCTCCATGTGTATACAATTATGCATGCTTCATGACATTTCAGTTGCTATTCCTTTTTGTGATACATGAATTATATTTTCTGTAAGTGTGGACATGGAAATTTACATCCTATAATATGGTTGGTCATCTTGTATTTATGACAGAGAGTTAAGCTTTGGTTATACCCAAAATTCATAAGCATGCAGACTTAGAATTTGCAAACTGAGAGTTTCTTTTCAGTTTTTACTTACATCGTTGTAGTTTCTGAAAACTCCATTGCTTCTTGTCTCGCTATCCTGTTATAGCCTTTTGCTAGCCTTCAGGCATACTATGAAGCAATAAAATGTTTGGTAGGCAAAAAAGTATTCACATTGTTCATTCTAATTAATTAGTCAGCATTCAGAAGTAGTGAGCATATGTTTGATCAGCTGAACAAGAATCTTACAATTTCATTTATTCCATACATAAATACATCACACTCGTTGAGTTCTAAGGTTTCAAGAATTTTTTGAACTTTAGATTAGGGTGGAAATGTTATAATTGTAACTGCTATTCATTTCACAATTTGAGAGGTTATGTCAAATTTTAGGAGGTAAAATTATTGCTTATTGAGAAACTTTACTTCCACCATTATCTTTGAAGTGCTTCTCATATGTATTTCTTTCATAATCACACGCAATATATGCAATTTAGTATCTTTGAAAACTACTTATCTTTCTATCATATGATTAATCTGAGTAAAAGAAAGATTATATTCCTGTTAGAATGTGTACATAAATTTCTCTGGTTAATGTTTTCCAGGAAAGGTGTATCGTGATATAGTTGGAAGTGCTTATTATGTTGCTCCAGAAGTTCTACACCGCAGATGTGGAAAGGAAATAGATATATGGAGTGCAGGAGTTATATTGTATATCTTACTTAGTGGTGTCCCTCCATTTTGGGCTGGTAAACTGTCACTTCGATTTTCATAATAAAATGACTAACAACTTGTACTCAAAATTTAAAACATACATTTTTATTTTTTACTCTCTCTGACTTTTTAGGTTTGTCTAATTCTTTTTTTATCATATATAATTTGTAGAGACCGAAAAGGGAATATTTGATGCCATATTGGATGGTCATATTGATTTTGAAAGTCAACCATGGCCTAAAATATCAAACAATGCCAAGGACCTTGTTCGTAAGATGCTTATACAGGATCCAAAGAAACGCATTACTTCAGCTCAGGTTCTAGGTATGTAACTTTTATTGTGTTTTCTCCTTTTTCCTCATGAAGTTAATTAAACTGTGTCCTGATAGTGTTTATAGTTTGAACTTCCTGCTCACATGGCCCATTTATTTGTGTATTTGTGCAAGAATGTGAAGATAGATTACTAGAAGAGGAGTTTAGAAACTATGATAATGTGTACAAATTATTATATCTACTTATAAACACAGGCTATTTTCATATCTTCATAGACTATTATATAACTATACAGGTGTGACAGCATAGTAACAATGTTTTGATGTAATCACTAACTGTTTCTCATTACAACTGTTGCTGACTGATAACATGGGTTTAGCATCCTAATGAATTTGCTTGGTTAATGGATTTTAGTTTCTTTTATAACTGATTTATATTTTTATATGAATGATTAGAGCACCCGTGGATTAAAGATGGAAATGCTTCTGACAAGCCAATAGACAGTGCAGTCCTTTCCAGAATGAAGCAATTCAGAGCTATGAATAAACTAAAGAAACTTGCCTTGAAGGTATGTCCATACACAATCTGCATGAAGAGAGACCAAAGTGCTCTTTAATGCTTCTTGTCTTAGATAGCATACTATGTACCACTCTGTGTATGGATCCATTACAAAAATTAGAAAAGGCTAATTTTAAACCATGGCTTCATAAATGTAGGTTATGGATATTATCATTCCCAATCTATGCAACTTTATGATGTAGTTTTATCTAGATATCCCAATTAAAAAACTCAATGGATTTTGAATGTTGTTTTAGGTCATTGCTGAGAATATGTCTGCAGAAGAGATCCAAGGTTTGAAGGCAATGTTTACAAATATGGACACTGACAAAAGTGGTACAATCACCTATGAAGAACTAAAGGCAGGATTGCAAAGACTTGGCTCAAAGCTTACAGAGGCTGAAGTGAAACAGCTTATGGAAGCTGTAAGCTGTTCTTAACTCTTGTTCTCTTCTTTTTCTTTTGTTTATAATTTTGAAGTTTTCCTAACTTAAATTCCTTGGCCTAAATTGCAGGCTGATGTAGATGGAAATGGCTCAATTGACTACATAGAATTCATCACTGCTACAATGCATAGGCACAAGTTGGAAAAAGATGACCAGCTTTTCAAGGCCTTCCAATATTTTGATAAAGACAATAGTGGGTAAGTCCTTCATCTTGATTTCTTCTCCAACCTAGTCTTTTCCTTCAATTTTTTTTTTATTTTGCATTATGCCATCCATATGAATCTTTTGGTTGCTGGGTTCTATGTTTCAACTTTCATTTACAAAATCATTAAGTGATGAATAGCCAAACTTGGACTGGATTTTAGGTGCAATGACATGTTTTCTCTGGTTTTTCTTTGATTCTATTATAGGTTTATTACAAGAGATGAACTGGAAACAGCCATGAAAGAATATGGTATGGGTGATGAAGCCACAATCAAGGAAATCATATCTGAAGTTGATACAATTATATCTGAAGTGGATACAGATAATGTAAGCCTATTTTCAATTGGGTTGCTACAAGTTTTTTACTCTAGTTAAATAGTTAATGCTCAATCTTGTGGTTCCACAGGATGGTAGAATCAACTATGATGAATTCTGTGCAATGATGAGGAGTGGAAACCAACAACAAGGAAAGCTATTCTAAATCACACCATCTAACCAGACTAAGTGTCTGGTATCAAAGATCACCCTGGTGAAAAGGTTTATAAATATGAGAAGTACTGCAGAAAGTTTTTTTATCACTCATAGGCATGTAAAGCTTGACTTTTAGTCAACTCTCTTTCTTTCATTTTTGGTTTCTTTTTCTTTTCACTGACATTCTGTTTCTGAGTCCTCTTTAAATTTGTTTTGGACACTTGAGGAGTATAAACTCCCATAGCAAAGGTGATATCTCAATAAGATCATACAAGCTTTTGCACTTGAAATCCTCAGCTTCTATTGTTTATTAATGATTGCATGCTACAAGGAGAGTGGCTTATAGGTCAAGCCACACCTTGTTTTGGATATTGATTGTGACAACTAGTATAACCATGGTTCATTATTTGATGCAACCACATTAATTAAACCACACCTAGATTGCTTGGAGTTAACTGGGTTGGATTGTGACAATGACAATACCATCTTATTGTAAGAACATTGAAAGTGAGATTGAGTTTGCATAGAACATCTTAGTGAATAGTGACAACAATAAACCTGAAAAAGACAGGCATTAGAGAAATAAATCCATAGCTATACAGTCCATAGTGATTTAAAAAAAGAAGAAAAAAAGTGTTTGCTAGAATACGGAAGTCAATTTAGATAGCTTTGTCTTTTTTATTTAATTTATTTGATTGAAAACTAAATTAGCTATATTCAAAAGAATTATTTTAATTGAAACAACTATGTATATGAGGCGAGTTGATCATGAATTGGTCATGCAATGAATAGCAAAAAAATAGAAAGAAAAAATAATGTTCAGTGTTGATTACTTCAACTGTGAACACAAGTGCCGTATGCAATGCATGGCTCAAAACTAAAGGCGTTTATTTTATTTTTAAGTGTGTCCCTAACAAAATATACTCTCCTCAATTTAGTTTTTTACAAAAAAAAAAAATTAGTCGTCTGGTCTCTGAAATTTAAAGTGGACTCATTTTAGTCCTTCTGAGGGACTAATATGGATCTTTTTTGAATTTGTGAAGTATCACGATTTTAACTAAATGAATCTATTTTGAATTTATTAGGGATTTCAATGCTATTTTGTTTTATAAGGAACTAAAGTGGGTATCGTATTTTTTGTTAGGGATTCAAGAGACTTTATTCTTATTTTAATTTTTTGAAATTTTTACTCTTAACAGTAAATCGAGCCTAATATTTTCGTGCAGATAAGACTGAAAAATATAGTCATTCCCTTGTAAATATTATTTGATCAGAAAAAACTTAGACCTTTATAGAATAAACCCTGGCCTCCATATAAATGATATATGACTAAAATTCATTTTTATGACACAATAAATTACTTTTCACAGTGAAATAATTATGATGTGCTTAACTATTTTTCTTAAATCATTTTTCGTAAATAATGTGCTAAACTTATTTTAAAGGTCAACAATTTCCCTTTTTTTCTCAACTTCAAATATAAAAGTAATTGATAATTATATTCAAAGGTCCGAAAATAAAACTATTTTGATCAAGAATCAATAACCAAATTGAAATCTGGCTAAGTCAAAAGAATTGGTCTAATGGTGAGGGTTTTGAACAATTTATATGAGGACATAAATTTTGAATCTTAATGTTACTATTGTATAAAATAAATTAAACTAAAAGTTAACCATTAAAGCTTGTAACAAATAATTTGATTAATATATTATTTTTTTAGTTGACACAAAAACTAACGGAAAATTTTCTTGTCCTTTTGTGAGTCAACTCGCAAATAAGTTATTTATGTTCCTATTGTCTTATAAAATAAAGAAGTCATTCGTGTCATGTTATACGAACTGCCACACTTTAGTTTGAGGTGAATTGTTTTTTTTAATTATAATATACTTATTTGATTTTTTCTTTATTTTTTTAGTTCAAAAACCGTAGATCAAAATGTTTCCTTTTTTAAATTGAATCTTTATTTTAATTTTAGAGGTTTTGGTTTGAAGGAATTGTAAAATGTTTACGGTATAAAAATAAAAACTATGACCTCCCTAGATTGTTCACGGAAAAATAGTCTCTCTTTTTAGGTTCTTTTTTTCCACAGTCCAATCAAACCCAAATTACTTGAATTCTTGCATTTTAATTATGAGTGTAGTTTAAAAAAAATTAGGATTTGATTTTTTGCATGAATCGCATAAAAAGAAGCTAAAAAACTCGAACTTGAAAAGCTCAAACATATTAATCATGGTAGATCGATTGGGGCAAAAAAATAATATATTATTATTTTAATAAAAAATTATGAAAACATAATTATTTTGAACTAATGTACAAATCTATTGCAATGGGTCTCGCCTAAATAAGGCAAGACCACTATCGCCAAAATAAGGTGAGGCTTTCCCTCTCCAAACGGCCTAAAAAAGCTGAGATTGGTCCTGCCGCCTAATTTGAGCGAGACCTAACATCGTTCATGTGGTGACACATGACATAAAAAGTCAATAATTTGTTCGTAAAATTTCGGAAGATCATAACTTTTGACTCAGAGCATGTTTGTATCCTCTTTTTTTAAGCTAGAAGCTACTTATAAGATAAAGCTAAAAAAAAGGGCTTAAAAACAAGTTAAAAGCTGTTTGTTAATTACATACACTTTTTAGCTTAAAATTACTTAAAATCACATATTTTAAGAAAATTATCTCTTCATTTATCTTTATAGTTCTTCATTTTTAAAAAAAGCACACAATTCAAGAAAAGCAGATAAAATCTTATAAAAAGCTCCTTATTGGAGTTTTTAGTTTTTAGCTTTTTTGTTCATTATAAAAAAAGTTTTTTATTATAAGAGTTCTTCTCAAAACTGATTTGGCCTAGCTTATGCTTATAAATAACTTCTAACTTAAAAAAATCAGTTGTTCAAATTTGATTTCATATAACTTTTCAAGATCTACGCAATGACATCTCATTGAAAATTTGGTCACAAATTATTTGAGATGTTAATCTTGTGGTGGAAAATGATCCAGCTATTCACAACTCTAAAGTTGCCCGACCATGCTTAGAAGGAAGATGCCAGCTCGTTTAAAGGAATACTTGGAATACTTTAAGGGTGTGTTTGGTTGAGGTTTTCTTTTGGTATAGAGAGGGAAGTGTGGGTAGGTATCCCAAAATGCTATGTTTGGTATAAGTTTATGAAAAAAAAGTCTAAGAAAGAAGTTTGCATAGGAAACCATATTTAAGTTGATTTTGTGTTCAAATTCACTGTTTAAGAATACCTCTTGAGATGTGGTATTTATGGAAAACTAGGGAAGTAGAAAACTGAGCGTGAAAATTGTGACCAAAGTGATCCTCCATTTTGTATTAGAAAACTAATTGTGAAGTTGTAGATTTATGTAAACAATGATTTCTCAGGGTCATACGCAAGCTATTGAGATTCAAAACTAAAAAAGGGTTATTTTCGTCATTTTATATCATTTTCCTATCAATATTTTACACTCAACTAAACATAGACTTACAAAACTTTAATCAATTTACCCGGTAATATTTCGTCTTACCAAACAACTTTTTTTACATTTTCCTACCAAACTCACTTTCTAACCATTTTCCTAGTAATTACATTTCCCTAGTAGTCAAAAAATTTCTCCTCAACCAAACGCCCCCTAATAAAGGCTTTTCCACCGATCTATTCCTTATGAGAAGGGTTATATTTATAAAATTTTTGTATACAAACTCTTACAAACTACACTATATTCTCCCGGGAGAACACTATGTTACACTATGTTCTTCCGGGAGAACATAGTGTAATTTGCAAAATTTTGTAAAAAAATTTTGTAAACGAATCCTTCCTCATTCCTTATTATTCTTTTAATTTTGAACTCCGTACATAAGGTATGTGATATAACCATATATCTTAATAAAATGTTTGATCTAATGGTGATCAGAGTGATAGTGGATTGGAAGTAGAAAAAATAGTAGTATGAATATCCTATCTCATCTTTTATATGCTTGTTAAAATGCTACAGGAGCAAACACTATGTAACAGACTATTCTAGAAAGGAAAAAGTGTGTATCATTTTTAAGGATGTAAAATTGTGTCATTTTAAGTTAGTGGAAGAGATAGATAAAAGAGAAGGGAGAATGAACAGTAAAATCACATAAGTTGTATTTTCCCTTCTAGAAAATGTAACTTTTGAATCAAACTGGTAAAATAAAAAATAACAACTTTCTTTATTTTCAATGCTGCCTGCACCATGACTTCAGGTTACCCAAAAGTCATGACAACATATTAGTAACATAATTCCTAATGTTAGCGATGGATTAGAAGATCGAGAGAAAAGTGAGGAAAAGAACTCCATATGTAATATCCTATTCAATATCCATGTTTACCTGCAGAACCTTAAGGCTTTGATTCGGAGTTTGAATGGGAGGGGAAGGAAGGGGATCCAAGGGGGAGGGAGGGGAAGGAAGGGGAGGAAATTGGAGGGTATCCCCTTCCCTTGTTTGGGAGTCAAAAAAATGGAATGGGAGGATAATGGAGGGTCAATGAGATATTTTTATCATTTTCCCTTTTTTTAAAATTAATATAATTATTATACTTTACAAATTAAATTAAATTTAAAATTTCTAACAAAATTATTTATGTACTTTTCACAACACCAAAAAAGATAATAATTTTTAGGAAATTTCTACATTGCCAAACGATGAAAATTTCGTCAAAAAATTATTTTTTTCGAATGAATACTTTTCGTCGAAAAGCGCCAGAATTTTTGAACCAATGAAAATTTTTACAAAAATAGATTTTCGACGAAATTTAGTTTCCATCAAAAGTTTTGACGAAAATGATTTCCACTGTCAAATGTTTTAAATGAAAAAAGAATTCCATCAAAAAATTTGACAGAACATTTTTCGTTCAAAATTTCGATGGAATTGTGTTCTAACTAAATTTTTGACGGAAATTGTTTTGTCAAAAATTTTGAGGGAAATGTTTCATTCAAAACTTTCGACGAAATTTAGATTTTGTAAAGAATTTTGACAGAATATTTTTTCTGTCAAAATTTCTTATCGAAATATTTTTCGTCAAAAATTTTTACGAAAATATTTTCTGTCAAAATTTTTTGACAGAAATGCATTCCGTTGAAAATTTTGATGGAAATATTTTTTATCAAAATACTTGACGAAAATATTTTTCGTCGAAAATTTTCGATGAAAATGTGTTTTGTTAAAAATTGCGACAGAAATTTTTTAATGTTTTCGTCGAAAACTGTCGGCGGAATTTAAATTCTGTTAAGAATTTTGATGAAAATATTTTTCGTCAAAAATTTTGATGAGTATGATTTTTTGTGAAATATTTTGGCAAAATTTAGATTCCGTAAAGAAATTTGACAAAAAAACTTTCCGTCAAAATTTTTTGTGAAAATATTTGATGGAAATGTTTTCCGTAAAAAAATTTGACGTGATTGTTTTACTTCAAAACTTTTTGACGTGATTGTGAAAATTTTGGATGGAAATATTTTCGCTAAAAGTTTCGACGGAATTTAGTTTCTATCAATAATTTGATTGAATTTTTTTTCCGTACAAAATTTATGTTAGTGATTATGGCAAAATCTGGTTCCGTCTCTAATTTCGGCTTTAGTTTTGACGAAATTTTTTTGCCATAAATGATTTTCATCACTATTTTTGACGAAATATTTTTCGTCAATAAATTATGTCGGTATTTGAGACTTTTCTAATAATACCGCATTTAAAAATGATTCACAATTATGTAGTTTTAACATTTTAATGCTAAGGATAGATAAATAATTTTTTATATTTCCCTCATCAAGCCCTCCAAATTGGGGGAACTTAAATTTTAAGAAGGGAGATTTTGGAAGGATTAGTAAAAAAAAACCCAATTCCTTCCCCTCCTTTTTTCAAACTCACAAACAAGAGAAGGACTTTCTAAAACCCTCCATTCACTTCCCTTCCCCTCCTAAAACCATCTCCCAAACAGAGCCTAAGTATAATAACAATTCCAGCACGCCCACTGCTAACAGTAACGCACCCACTCTTCTGGAGCATAAACAAGAATCACTTTACAGTGGTAATAATTGGCAGAGGAGTGATACATATAAGGAATCAGATACAGATCATATTTTCTACTTAGAGACAAGCTAAATATTTCAGTCATGTCTAAATCTTCAGGCTTATTTCCATTAGGCATCTTCCAATCAAAGTGGAAAAGCAAATTTGCTAGTATGATTTCAACATTAGCAATGCCAAATGTAACACCAGAACACATCCTCCTTCCAGCACCAAATGGTATAAACTGATAATCTAAACCTTTGTAATCAACTGAGCTATCAAGGAACCTTTCTGGACAAAACTTCTCAGCTTCAATCCAGTAATTTTGATCCCTCGCAATTGCCCAAGCATTAACAATGACCTTACTCTTAGCTGGTATCTCAAACCCTTTAATTTCACATCTCTCAGTGCATTCCCTTGGTAGTAAAAATGGAGCAGGAATATGTAGACGCAAGGTTTCTTTGATAACTGACTTTAAGTATTTAAGTTCATGGAGGTTAGCTTCATCTACATGACCTTTACCATCAAAGACCCTTCTTATTTCAGCTTGTGCTCTTTCCATCATGCTTGGATTTTTGACAAGTTCTGACATTGCCAACTCTAAGGTTCGCGCTGTTGTACGGCTTCTAGCACCGAAGATATCCTAAAAAAAAAGCTATCATGAACAGAATTGCCAACGGTAAACAGAACGAGAATATTGTTTCTGATGTTAAATGAGAAAATTTGTGTTGAGGTATATAATACCATTAATGTAGCCTCACCCAACAAGCTTAAGCTTTTGGGTTGAATTGGTTCTTTATATGATATCAGAGCTTTGGTGTACCGGGTTCGATCGCCCCCACTTTCTTTCTAGTGGAATTTCTTTCTTCGCACAGGTAGGTGGGCCTGTGCATTGTCTACCCTTCAAGCCCAATGGACTCTCGTGTAAGGGGACATGTTGAGATATATAAAACCATTAATGTAGCCCCACTCAACAGCTTAAGCTTTTGTGTTGAATTGGTTCTTTACAATTTGTCCCATCACACAAAAAATTGAATGAGACCCACTAAGAAGAAGAAACAGAAAGAAAATAAATAGATCACACCCACTTTTTCGTATGTAGCATGAGACAAACATGAGAAACAATATTCCCAAACATAATTTACTTAGAAATTTCTACAAAAATGTCTTCATTTAAATATGAGGTGAGTTATATTGACAAACCTTTTTTCTTAAAAACTTACAAAATACACCAAGTCTGACCAGTCATACACTATTGATTGAAGTATGACTGGCCCGACTTAGTGTAGTTGTAAGTTTGTAAGAAAAAAGTTTGTCAATATAACTCATCCCTGGATTGGGCCTTCCTTGGTTTTCTATCTCAGCAACCCGGGTTGTCGCCCTCATCTCGGCCATTAGCATTTTGGCCTTGGACTTCTCTCGCTGGGGGCCCTGTTATCCCCATCAAGCGTTGCTCCAAATCCTGCATTCTCTTGGCATTTTCTTCCTGCACTCTCCTGAAGTCTTCTTACCACTGGAGATTGTTACAATTCTCCATCTCCTCCGTCCGCCGCAAAATTGCAGCAAACGCATTTTAAGCCAGTCGGAAATCAGGATATGCAGATTGGGCAACGCGAGCAGCAATATCCCTAGGATGTTGGGGAGGATTATTCATATCTGGGGTCGCGACTCGATTGTGGGGTGCTGGTGTCGAGGTTGTGTCTGACACGTCCTCGCTGACTTGGACATGATCATAATCCACCTTATTCTCAGGCTGGTCTTGAGGTCGATTCGCCTCCTCCAAGACTGGATCTAGTGGCTGATTCTGAGGGTGGGGCTGTTGGCTATTACTCCTCGTATGGACTGCCATCTTTAGTCAGAGTCGTGGGAATATCAAATTCAAAAATTCGTTCCCCATAGACGGCGCCAATGTTCTATTTTGGAGACAGAGATGTCCAGCCCAATGGACTGATATATTGATCTTGGATCTAGTGCCTTATCCAAGGTATCTATGGAGGAGATACCCTTGAGTCAAGCAGATCACCGTGCACAGTAAACAGACGACGGCTTTGCCAAAGGGGGTGTGTGTGTGTGTGCACAGTGACAGCATAACAATAAGACAGAGAACGTAACGTACCTTTAAGGTTTACCTCTTATTTATAGGAGTTACCGTGAGTAATATGATGTGAATCTTTAGTACCTCTGATGAGGGCCCAGACCTGTCCGCTATGTTGTCGCATTAGGATTAGTATCCTTGATGGATATCTATCCATAATTATACTTGATGTAAATCTTGAATTGCCCCTAGTTGGGCCTCTCTTTGAATGGGCCCCTTATACGGGTCCATAACACATCCAAATACAAAATAACTTTAACTTTTAAAAAAATAACTCATAAAAAATCATTTTTTCAAATGCACGTCCAAATGGGGTCTATATCTAGTTCAAAATTAATTGTAATTGTTTTAGCTTAAAACTAGAGTTGAGCAACCCAAAAATATCATATTATTTTGTGAATCATATTCCTCGTTTAGTCCGGTAGGATCAATATGAAGAAAATCATATTCACTTTTATGGGTAAAAGAAGAAAAAAAAAGTGACAAAAAAAAAGAAAAAAAAAATGATGCTTAGCTTCATTTAGAAACAAATATTTGTATAAATAAATTCAAAATAAATTTGTATAGAATATTATATATTCATTTAAATATTAGGTTAAACAAATCATTAATTAATCCATAATTAAACTAACATTGAGTTTGAAAAAATTGAATCAGTCAAATACCCGGTAAGTTTTGGATTAGCATATATATGTAATATCGTTATCATATCTTTTATCGTTAGCATTAATGTTGAAATTTAAATTTTATATTGTTCAGCACATATTGAAAATAAAATTTTATATTACCGATAGATAGTGAAAACAAACTAGTAATTATTAAAAATGTAATAGCTGTTTTGACATTAAGAAATTCATATCTTTTGAATTTTTTTTAAGATCTATGTTTTTAAATAGGCTCTCAAGAAAAGTTAAGTTTAACATTTGAAATAATCCATGTCGACGTATAATAAGTTAAATTCAAGCAAATAGTTTTTAAAATAGGCTTGTATCTATGGGATAAGATATTGTGACACACAAATAATGTTACGCACAATGTTACGTCCACATCTTAACCGTTGATTTTCACCAATCAACGGTTATCATTTTTCAAATTAAACTCATTAATTAATTATTAATTTGCAATAAATGATAACCGTTGAATGGTGAAAATCAACGGTTAAGATGTGGTCATAACATTGTGCGTAACATTATTTGTGTGTCACAATATCCTATCCCCGTATCTATATAGACAAAACTTTTGTTTAGTCTAGCCTGGTTGTCATTTGTCATTAAATTTATTTTTTCTTTGCAGTGAATAAACAAATAATATGATAAAAGTATTAAATTTAGTTTCACTGAATATTTTTTTGTAGGGTTTTTTCAAAAAAAAATAAAAAAATAAAATTATATACTTTGCTAAGAACTTGTTTTAGAAAAAGTAAAAATATTTTATTCTTTCATGTAAAATTTGATGAAAAGATCCAGTTTAATATGATCATTTTTTATTTTTTTATTTTTTAAAATACACCTTTTTTGATAAAATAAAAAGAGGCTGCTTTTACAAGTTATTAATTATGGGTGTCTAGATGTAACTTAAAATAAGAAAAAAGAGTTGAAATTACGAAATAAATATATAAATAAATAAACAGTTTGATTTTGGGATCTGGATACTCTGATGTGAAAATTCACATGATCGTGTCATGTGGAAAATCATAACTATACAAAGATGGATCAATGGTAATAAAAGAGGAGAGAGAAAAAATGTTAAAATAAGTAGTTACAAAATCATAATCGTTGATTTACTTTTGTATGCTTGTGATGTCCTAAAGGTCAAAGGTTTCGTCTTAGAGTGCTACGCGCTCTTAACTAATTGATTTCACTTTTCTATATTTTTTAAATTCACTCTTTAATTAATTTTCGAAGTCTAAATCTGTAGTTGTAAAAAACTAATCCCACAAACTACCAAAAATAAAATAAAATTAATCCCACTAGCATTATTATCTTTGGTGTGGCAAAATGTCATAGGTGCAACTTACAGGAAAAGTAAACTGGAGAAAATATCATGTTACTTTAATACCTTACATATTTTATGGAAATTAAAAAAAGTTTAAAAAATTAATAACTAAGAAATTAGACAGAAGATGAAGGAATGTTTTTAGTCAATTATTTTTATAACCGTTAAGTTATTTCAATCTGACAGTTACTATACAGTTGTACTACCTACGAAACGCTGTTGTTGGTCTCTTCGTTTTAGTTAAAATTTTGGACTTGTTGGAGATTCCATATTTGACAGAGTTAATCATTTAAAGCCATTTATTATCACGTGTGCACAATCATAAAAAAGGAAAGATAAAGAATAAAATAAATCTAAATTTTAAATATGTATAGAATATCTAAATTTTGAAGCTGTAGATATACTTTTAGTTGTGTAATATTTATAAAATCGGGATTTAAGATATGATTTACCGAAGATTACGAGATTAAATTCAAACCATACAAACCTTATTTACAGTTGAAGGCTTAACAAAAAAAAAAGATTAGTTTACCGAAAAAAAAGGAAAAAAGAAAGAAGATTAGTTTACCGAGAAGTTGAGAATATTAGGGAAGGGGTCCTTTGCTATTGTCTACCTTGCTGCCATGGTTGCTCCAGAGAAATGCATAGGGAATGTGGTGGCTGTGAAGAGTTCAATGCCTCACTCAATAGGTTCATTGATGAGAGAAGAAAGTATAATCAGATCGTTGATTGGTTGTGAAGAATTGCTTCAATGCCATTTTGGCCAATTCACTATTGAGAAGAGTGAATTCATCTATAATCTTGTTATGGAATTTGCACCTTATGGTTCTCTCTGAGACTTAATTAGGAAGGGGCCACTGTTTGAAAGTGAGGCAAGAATCTATACTATTATGCTTCTTAAAGGGCTTTCTTGCATTCATCAAGCTGGAGTTGTTCATTGTGATTTAAAGCCCGATAACATTCTTCTCTTTCCTTCATCCAAGAATGATGCAAAGAATCAACTCAAGATTGCAGATTTTGGATTGTCCAAGACTAAAGAAGAGATTATCAATGCTGAGTATTGGAATTTCAGGTTTAGGGGGACACCATTATACATGTCACCAGAATCAGTTAAGGGTCATATTGAAACATCATTGGATATATGGTATCTTGGATGTATAGTCATATAGATGATCACTGGGTTATATGTATAGAGGAACCCTCCAACTTCAAAGGAGATGATTCCAACTACAAATGAGATGATGTACAAGCTTGCTGTCTTTGAAGAAGCACCAAAGATTCCTAATGGAGTAAGTGAGGATTGCAGAGATTTCTTGAGCAAACGTTTCATCAAGAATCCTAGTCAGAGATGGACTGCTAGCAAGCTTCTCCACCATCCTTTTCTATTTTCTCCATATGATTCTTTTAGAGGTTATGAAAGATTTCATATGGTTAATTCGTTGTCCTCATTTTTCACTTATGATTGTAATTGGTTATCATTAAGGCATAACTTTCTGGTTTTGTTGGGTAAGAGGATGCCTTTAGGGTACAAATTTTGTTTGTGTATGCTTTCTGTTTCGTTCTTGATGACAAATAAAATTTTGAATGATGAGAAGTGTTGTATGTGTTAATTATTTTTTTTGGTTTCTGTTCCGTTATTGGTTGATGGTTGGTTCTGCATGTGTCACGTTGTTATTTACTGTTCTGTTATTAATCACTGTCCAATAATAGATCAGCATCAGGTAAGAAATCTACTTGATGAGTTATTCTGTTATTAATCACTATCCATTTCTAAAAGAAACTGTTTGAATATATTGAGCATCTGTAGCTGTTTTATATTGATTTGACTGTGAACTTAAAAGTTGATACGTGAGTGCAGAGAGCTATTGTATCTTGTTAAGTTGATTTTATTTGGTTAAAACAATGATCTTGCATTGAATATCTGCATCGCTCTATAATTAGCTATGGTCGTCACATTCAACATCCTGCTTACTTCTGTATTCTCGCTTGAATTGGAAAATCTTGTGATAGATGAGTTTGTGTAGTTGAATAATTGTCACTTAACCAAAATTGTTACTATAGTTTGAGTTTGAAGTCATATAGTAGTGATCTCTGTCATATGTGATAAACCTGCTATGATTTGATTCAGTTAGTGCTTCATTTGTTCTAATTTGGTCTAGTAGAAAAGCACTTACTCGAACAAGTGACATTTTTTACTTGAGTAAACTCTTGGTAACTCCACATATTTTACTTGGTATCGTGTCATTTGAATTAATCTGATTGGGTAGTAATTGTCTTTTGCAAAGTATTTTTAGTCTGAAAATAAAATCTATATTCTTATCCATTAATATCTGGTTTGCTTTGTGAAGACAACTTATTGGTTGTTCTGTTTAAGTTTAATTTATCCGAGTAAGTTATTGTTTTTCACTCGAGTAAATCCTATATAAATAGAAGATGTATTGATTGTAACAGTCTGAATAGCTGATCCTCTGTACTAACTTGTATTTCCTTTGCTGCTGTTCTCATATCTGAATATCGTATTAATTTATATAAAAAGGTTGCATATTAGTGCTGCCTGCCAATCAGCCTTGTACATTTATTCTGCTGAGTGAAACCTTGTAAACTGAGTAAATTGCAATGAATGATATCTAGCTGATTTAGTCATATGCTAGTTGTCATATTGTTTCTGTTATGGAACTATTTTGTGGTTCTTTGTTCGGATTTAATTGCAAAATTAGTGAATACTGTTTTAAATAAATAATTGAATTGTGTTGGTATGTTACCTCCCCTGTTACACATATTGCTTCTGATATAAATAAGTCTTTTCAATTTGTCGTGCTTGGTAAATATTTCAAGTATAGTGTGTAGGCAAAAAAATTAATTTAATGCTTTTTAATAAATTAATTATGTATTTATTACAGTTTTGGAAATAATTACACATCTATTGCACAATATGACGCCGAATTTGGGCGTCACTAAAGACGCCTAAATTGGGCATCACTCAAGACACAATCACACCTAATTTAGGCGTCACTCATTGTTGACACGTGTCATATTTTTTTTCCAAAAAAAAAAATTAATCTTAAAACTTCTGAAGGCTATAACTTTTGACTCGGGTATCCAAATCAGGTAATTCTTTTTTTGATTCCACATAACTTTTTGAGATCTAAGCAATGACATCTCATTTGATATATTTTATCTCTCACAAACATAATTTAAATTTAAATCAGGTAATCCTTCTTCCTTAGAAATTTAGAATATTTATTTAATTATTTTCTTTATTAATACAGATTTTTCAAATTGATTTTTGAGTTTCAATCACAAATTAAATCTTTATTGTTTTTTTCATATTAATAATAATTGTTATTTTTTAATTTAAATCACACATCAAATCTTGATTTATTTTTTATATTAAATCACAAACCCAAAACTCAGAGGTTTCTGAGTTTAAAAATGTGACACGTGTCAACACCTGACACGTCATCAATGATGTCTAAATTGGGTTTCAATCAAGAGGCAATCACGCCTAATTTAGATAATTTTATTTTTGAAAAACATTCATAAGCTATAATTAATTTTAGACCACAAATAATAACCTAGAAGCTTATAACATGAATCATTAATTTCAAAAATAATATCCTTCTTCCTTAGAGATTTAGAATATTTTTATAATTATTTCCTTTATTTCTACAGATTTTTCAAATTGACTTTTTAGTTTAAATCACAAATCAAATCTTTATTTTGTTTTCCTTATTAACTATAATTTGTACTTTTATTTTTAATTTAAACACAAACCAAATTTTTGTTATAATAAAAAAAAATTATTATAAAAAAAATTTAAATCACAAATTAAAATTTTATTTATTTTTTTATATTAAATCACAAATCAAGAACTTAGAGGCTTCTGGGTTTAACCGCTCTTATAATATCATTCTTGCAAATTTAAATTGTGTTTGTAAGAAATAAAATATGTCAAGTGAGATGTCATTGCGCAGATCTCGAAAAGTTATGTGAAATCAAAAAAAGAATTACCTGATTTGAATACCCGAGTCAAAAGTTATGGCCTGCGGAAGTTTTATGATTAAATTATTATTTTTTGGAAAAAAACATGACACGTGTCAACGAGTGATGCCTAAATTAGGCGTGATTGCCTCTTGAGTGATGCCCAAGTTAGGCATCTTTAGTGACACCCAAATTGGACGTCATATTGTGCAACTAATGTGTAATTATTTCCAAAATTGTAATAAATGCGAAATTAATTTATTTAAAAGCATTAAATTAATTTTTTTGCCTTCATAAGTCATAATTAATTTCAGACCACAAATAATAACCCAAAAGCTTATACATTAATCTTTAATTTCGAAAATAATATCCTTCTTCCTTAAAGATTTAGAATATTTATTTAATTATTTCCTTTATTTCTATAGATTTTTCAAATTGATTTTTTAGTTTAAATCACAAATTAAATCTTTATTTTGTTTTCCTTATTAATAATTTTTTTTATTTTTTATTTTTATTTAAATCACAAACCAAATTTTTGTTATAATAAAAAAATTATTATAAAAAAAAGGTAAATCACAAATCAAATTTTTATTTATTTATTTATATTAAATAACAAATCCAGAACTCAGAGGCTTCTGGATTTAACCGATCTTATAATTTAAGTCTTGCAAATTTAAATTGTGTTTGTGAGAAATAAAATATGTCAAATTAAATGTCATTGCGTAGATCTCAAAAAGTTATGCGGAATCAGAAAAAGAATTACCTGATTTGGATACCCGAGTCTCCTTCAGAAATTTTATGATTAATTTTTTTTTTGAAAAACAAATATGACACGTGTCAACAATGAGTGACGCCTAAATTAGGCGTGATTGCCTCTTGAGTGACGCCCAATTTAGGCATCTTTACTGATGACCAAATTGGGCGTCATATTGTGCGATAGATGTGTAATTATTTCCAAAACTGTAAAAAATACATAACTAATTTATTAAAAAGCATTAAATTAATTATTTAAATGCCCTATATGTTTTTTGCCCATCAAATCTTGATTTATTTTTTATATTAAATCACAAATCCAAAACTCAGAGGATTCTGAATTTAAGAATGTGCCACATGTCAACACGTGTGCACAATTGACGTCTAAATTGGGTTTCAATCAAGAGGCATTCACGCTTAATTTAGGTAATTTTATTTTTAAAAAACATTCATAAGTGATAATTAATTTCAGAACCCAAATAATAGCCCAGAAGCTTATAGCATTAATCTTTAATTTCGAAAATAATATCCTTCTTCCTTAGAGATTTATGATATTTATTTAATTATTTCCTTTATTTCTACAGATTTTTCAAATTGATTTTTTAGTTTAAATCACAAATCAAATATTTATTTTGTTTTCCTTATTAATAATTATTTTTATTTTTAATTTAAATCACAAACCAAATTTTTGTTATAATAAAAAATTTATTATAAAAAATTTAAATCACAAATCATAATTTTATTTATTTTTTATATTAAATCATAAATCCAGAACTTAGAGGCTTCTCGGTTTAACCGCTCTTATAATACCATTCTTGTAAATTTAAATTGTGTTTGTGAGAAATAAAATATGTCACATTACATGTCATTGCGTAGATCTCGAAAATTGATGTGGAATCAAAAAAATAATTACCTGATTTGGATACCCGAGTCAAAAGTTATGGCCTTCAGAAGTTTTATGATTAAATTTTTTTTTGAAAAAAAATATGACACTTGTCAAAATGAGTGACGTCTAAATTAGACGTGATTGCCTATTGAGTGACGCCTAATTTCGGTGTCTTTAGTGACGCCCAAATTGAGCGTCATATTGTGCAATAGTTGTGTAATTATTTTTAAAACCGTAATAAATACGTAATTAATTTATTAAAAAGTATTAATTAATTTTTTTTTGCCAGATTTGATGTGTGATTTAAATTAACAAAATAACAATTATTATTAATAAGGAAAACAAAATAAAGATTTGATTTGTGATTTAAACTCAAAAATTAATTTGAAATATCTGTATTAATAAAGAAAATAATTAAATAAATATTCTAAATCTGGATTACTTGATTTAAATTTAAATTATGTTTGTGAAAAATAAAAAATATCAAATAAAATATCATTGGAGATTGCTTACAAAAAAAAATAGATATCATTGGGGATATTGCGTATATAAAAAAAGAATTACTCCCGCCCTTAGGCACTCCCACATTGGTTATATTGTCAAACGTTTTCAGAAACTCTGTTGCTGCTTCTGTTCTTTTCCCTCAAACCGCTTTCTGTTTCTTTCGTCTTTTTGTTTTATTTTTCTCGATTGAGAAGAAGAAAACCAAGAAATCTTCCCTTGCCCTTCTCTTCTTCTTCATCAAGTTTTAATTTTTAACCTTTGTGTTGGTGTTTGATTATCTGGGTTTTTCTCAGTTTTGGGTGCAATGGTCCCTGTTTCCAGAACTGAAGGTGGAGCTGGCACACAAATACTCTCAGCTATAGTGCGCAAAACCATCCAATCCATCAAGGAAATCGTAGGGAATCATTCTGATGCTGATATCTATGTAGCCCTTAAGGAAACAAACATGGATCCTAACGAAGCCACTCTGAAATTGCTCAACCAAGATCCATTCCATGAGGTGAGGAGAAGGAGAGACAGAAAGAAGGAGCCTCGGAATATTGGGAACAAAGGTTCAGCTGACCCAAGGAGGCATTATGAGAATGTTGGTCAAGGAATGAAATCTCATATCTCATCTGAACGTAATGTTCTTAGAAGAATAAACTATTCTCGGAACACTTTTCAATCAGTTGGTGCCATCTCGAAGACTGAACAATTTAGTCGAACTAATGTAACTGAACCTTCATTCCCTGGCATGACAGTTAGTAGGCCGTCCTTGAACAATCAATATAATAGTAGGCCACATCAACAACTCGCGAGACATCAGAGAGTTTCCCAGCAGAATAAAGTGTGGAAACCTAAATCAAGTCAGAAGTCTAACAGCAATACTCCTGGAGTGATTGGAACTCCTAAAAAAGCTGCTTCACCTCCAGTTGAAAATTCTATAGATATAGAATCAAACGCTGCAGAGGTTCAAGATAAAATTTCCCAATTATATATATATCTCACGACCTTCAAATTATTTTAAAATGTCATGGTTGAATTCTGGTACCGGAGGAACACGTTCTACCATGTGACAAAACACTGTAATAAATCTTGAATATCACTGTTGTATCGAAGTGGGTACAACATTTTTCTACTTTTGAAAAAAAAATTAACACTTTTTAAATTTTATTTTTCTACCACATTGCACTTTTTTTCAAAATTGATAAAATGTTGTACCCATTTAGATACAACAGTGGTACCAAAAATTTATCCGTTAGTGTGGTGCAGCTGACTCAACCAATGAGACTCACTTTCTTCTGTTATCTCCGGCAAAACGTATTTAACGGGACTCACTAACAGGATTTTAAATATAGTAGAATGAGAAATATTTTTTTAGGTGTGACATTTTGAGACTTTATGCCAACAGGTGGATTTAATTTGATTGTTATCCCATTTGAAACTATATCAAACGTAGTGTTCATGATAAATAACTTTCGATTTTGGCCATACCAAACAAAATTTGGCAGACGCGGTTCAATTCCCACTAAGGCTGTTAAAACGAAATTTGTTGATGGGTATGTTTCTGATATGAATTAATTATTGTTTTTATTTTTATAATTTGACTTAGTCTAATGTAAGGTAATTATGTAAGTAGTGGGATATGGGATAGGTATTTTGATTATTAGTAGCAAGTGGTTTGAGAAACCATGGCTTTTTGTTGATTTCTCTTACTCTTTGTCTATTTAAACTATTGTTCTATGGAATGAAATGAGAAAAGAGAAAAATCATTTGGGTGCACTTGTATGCTTTAGGTAGAGCTTCCTCAATAGAGCTCATTTTTATGGGTGGAAAAAATGGAAAAACTAGAAGAAACAGTTAAAAAAGAAATACACTCAACTCTCAATTTGACTAAATGTTTTAGTTCCATTCAAAAACCTAAGTTATTGTCTTTCAACACTTTATTATGCTATCTTATGAATCATTTTTACTTTAATCCAAATTGTGATACCCCAGTGATCGAAGAAAGTCAAAGGAAAAAAGGATTGAATTTCCATGAGACTTATGCTTTAGGCCATGAGTATAAAAAGTTATTCTTAATCTATATGATGATGGAGGGAAGGAATGAAGATGCAAACAAGAATATGGAAGAAGACTCAATTATGCGATCATACTCTTGAGGGCAAGAGTAGTTATTAAGAGGGAGGGAAAGGCTAAAAAGTTTAAAAATTATAATTTAAATAATAAATTACAAAATTAATACCGTTTAAAAATATTTTACACAACTAATACAATTAATTAAACCCAAATTCTTAAGGATAGTTAAGTAGGAAGTGTGATATGGGATAGCTATTTCGATTATCATGGGAGGTTAGAAGAATTATGGGTTTTTGTTGATCCCTTTCATTCTTTGTCTATTTAAACTAGGGTAATCCATTGGTATTGTTACAGGGAAAAAAAGTTCCTGCAGAGACAACTTTTTGTGGGGTCTATGCATTGTTTTTTCTCTCTCCTTGTATCATTTTCTCTCTCCTAAATTGCTGTCTCTGCTGGACAATATTTTTTTCCTATAACAACACCGATGCATTCCCCTTTAAACTATTGTTCTATGGATGAAATGAGAGGAAAAAAAATTAAAATATTATTGTTTTAATAAATAATTATAAATATGTAGTTATTTACGAATCTATTGCACTCAATTACCCCCAATTTGGGCGTGACTATTCACGTATAAGTTAGGCGTGACCCACGAGGCATTCATGCCTACGTTAGACGTGACTCATTTGATGTTGATACGTGGCACAAAGAGTCAACAGTTTAATCGTAAAACTTTGGAAGGTCATAACTTTTGACTCGGGTGTCCGAATAAGATAAAAAACAATTTTATTCCATATAACTTTTCGAGAGCTATGCAATGACACCTCATGTGATATATTTTATCTCTCACAAACACAGTTCGAATTTACAACAATGGTACTATAAGAGCGTTTAAACCCAGAAGCCTTCGAGTTTTTCCAAACCAAAATAAGTCATAGAATTCTATATTTAATGATCTAAAATCAAAGGAAATTACACTCTAAATTTTGTTTTCACATTTTGTGAGGCCATTTTAAAGAAATCAAAGTACTTCACTTCAGAGAAAATTATATATTTTTCTGTTGTGTGATAAACCCTTGGTTTACCATGTTTTTATGCTAAATTCTACAAGAATTATATGGTAGATTGCATGGAATTCAAGGTGTTATATGATAAAATCATAAAGATTTGAAAATTGAGCTAATATTTTGATATCTTGCATATTTTGAAGGTAAATCCATAAGATTTGGTGCTAAGAAGTGATCAAAGAATCATAACAAAGATTTGAAGCTCAATCTGTCAGCCCAATCTGCAGGATCTTAAATAAAAACATAAACAAATCGAGATTTGATTGGGAATTGATAGAGATTTACGGGGAGATTTGATGAAGAATTAAAAGATATGGCTTCAAAGGTTATAAATAGGGAGCTTGGGGTCAATGGAACCAACCAATTCACCAATCCAGAGAATTACACAGAGACTTGAGGGAGGAATCATGTTGCGTTGCGTTGGAGCACTGAGGAACCAAGTTAACATCACACCAATGGAGGCTTGGGGTTCTCTTTTCTTTATTATTGCTTTTGAATTCAATATGCTAGGCTAGACTTTTATGTAGTTAAGGGTAGATGGAACCCAATTGAATCGTATGTCTTGAATTAAATTGTTCCTGAATTCTTTTCTTTTTATAATTGAATAAAATTATCCGTCTTTAATGCTTTCTATGAGTTTGCTCCTTATAGATTGATTTAGGAGAATTGTATGACAATAGGGATGTTGGTGCATGAACCCTGACTTGGTAAATTTATCATAATCCTTGTGCTAGGGATAGACATAGGGTAATTGTGCAATCTTTAAATTCTTGATCTTAATGCATGTTTTCTTGGGGAATAATCGGGAAACTAGAGTTCTTTCAAAATCACATAGATTTAGGGTAACAAGAAATTGAGCCCTAATTAACTTAGAAAGAATTGATTGACATTATATTAAGAATGGATTCTTGACAATTTAATTCATTGCATATAGAGGAGATTGGAGGAATTCGAAACCTTAACTACGCTTGTTTTTAAATTTTTAATCAATCATCTTTTCAATTGCTTTCTAATCTTGAATTTTAATTTGCATGTTATTAATTGTTTCGGTTTGTTAACATTACATGGTATTAAGCTGCGCTTAATTAAAAATGCGGAATATCTTTTTCTTTTCAATTATGACGTCATTATACTTAGCCAAGTTGATTACTTAATCATTTTTCATAAAATAACGCCGGTATGTAAATTGCAAATAGACATCTACTGAAATACCTCAATATATGAATATAAAGTGAGTCTCTAAGTCACAGCATTACATCACGTAATCCGGACAATAACCTGATACATTAATACAACTCCAAATTAAAACAAGACATAAACAAGTCTATATGGCATGGACAATCCCCATGCTCACTAAATCAACATCATAACAACAGTGTCTCAACAAGATAACCCATAACATAAAAGAAGCTAAAAACATAATAGCAGTAAGCATATCCAGCATCCAACATGTCAGCATATAATACAACAATATCTAACTCAGCTCCGGCCTCCTGCCGCCTGAGGTCTCAACCCCAACATTACCTGAACTTGAAAAAAGCGCCCCAAACGTGGGGTGAGATCTCTAAACAGAAATCTCAGTAAGACAAGGGGTCCTCAAGGATCTTCCACCCCAAGCTCACTTACATGTGCAATATAAGTTCAAAAGCAGTAATTCAATATAAGTTCTCAAAAATATGTAGTGCAACAGATATTCATGACATGTGTGTTTGAACTATTCTACTGGCCAGAGAAATGCAGGAATATGTCTATACCTACATGTAGTACAAGGAACACCGCTTGTACCTCACCCACAGCCTCACCATATTGTATGTACTACATACTCAGGCTTACCGTATAGATGGAACACAACATGCATATCAACAAGGCACTAACATAAAACAGCTCAACAGCATTTCCAAATCATCAAAAGCATGTAACACAACATGCATATACCATACCCCCATGGGACATGGTGGAACCACAACATGGCTAAACCGAGGACACGAAAGCTTACCTCGCAAGCTAGCTATCCAAGCCAAGAGTCCAAAATCTCAAAGTCCAAACACAGCAGTATCACAATCTGTTGTGGACCAGTAATATATCAATAAATATGCATCACAAGCATACAACTTAAAGACAACGCATTTCCTTTACGTTTTACGTCTTAAGGCTCCATACCAAGCCATAAGCCCTTAATCACTTGATTCTGACTTAGTTCATTAATTATAGAAGTTCAACTTCATCAATCTAGGGTCCACAAACCCCCAATAGCCTACTGTATGAACAATGCAGTTACTGTTCTTCGAAATCCCAGGATATCCGGATATTCCTCGGGGGCATATCCGAAGATTCAATATCCGGATATCAATAACCGGATATTCACAACCAATATCCAGATATTTCGCGACAGAACCCAGATTCTGCATTTGGCGAAATAACAAACCAAAGGTCCAACTTTTACCGATTACAGAGGCCTAAACATGCATCTCTAGGTGTGTTTGACATTACCCACCCTTAAGCATAAAAACTCAAGTTCAAAGGTGGTGATCATACCACAAGCTCAAGACAGCAACAAAGAAGGTGTCTTGATGGTTTCTAGGTCCTCTTATAGTGCAGCAACTCAAGGCCACGAAAATGAGCATGGAGGTGGCTCTTAAACTCAACAAGAAAACTCCTTGGAGCTTCAAAACACCATACACAAGGCCTCACCCCACAAGAGCAAAGAACACAGCCCCTAAACCACCAACACAGTACACCCACACTCAGAAGATGGTTTCTTTACCCTCACCCATCACACACCCAAATGTTTGCAAGGTTAAAGAGAAGGAAACTCAAGATAAAA